ATGAGAATGAAACAATCTTGAACCAATAGAATGGAAGGTGTGTCAGAAATGCCTATGTTCTCAGTTAGCATGAAATCATGGCCTGCCAAGCCAGCAACCAGGCACCGAGCTGGCTCTAAGTGCTCAGAGCTGGCTGTGGACTATGGCATGCTGACCACCAGGCAACTCCAAGCTCTTGTGCAGAGCAGGACATGGATGGGAGGCCAGCCAGTCCACAGCTGAGGGTCATGCGTACCTGTCATGCACACATGTCTCTTCCTCTGCTAACTCACGGAGCCATTTATTTTAGCTTGGGAAGGAAAATAAATGAGTGTGTGTGACTGGGTTCCAAGTGCCTGGTTTTATCATTCGCCTCATCTCTGTGACATCCTCAAACTGTCTTTACTGTAACCCAAGCCCAGCATGAAAAATATAGCACCAAGTTTTCCAGTGCCAGGCAATTGTCGCATTTGTTATTATAAAGGAAGTGTTGACTCAACCCAGCCCAGGAACTGCCACCAAGTGTAAAAGGTCTCCAGAGATGGGATTGGACCTTTTACGTTATTTACATTAGCAGTTGATCTGGAACTTGAGTCAGAGTTTGATCCTTGCTTCTTTAAAGAGAACTTATTTCATCTATTCATATCCTTTCTCTCTCTCTCCCCCCCTTCCCCTCTGCTTTCTCTTCCTCCTCCCCTTCCTTTCCCTTTTCCTCTCAGACACACAAACATATATCCACATACCTTATTATTCTATATCTAGAGGATCTAATTTTATCTTCAAACAGTATATCCTAAGGGACTTTCTTCCCAATTGTGATTGAGACAGTGTTTGAAAATTAGGAAAGTCTATTCACACTTCTCAGTTATATCAGAATGAAGATAATCTCTGAATTTTAGACAGTGGAGTCTGAGATGAAGACCATAATCTGGTGCACATGATAGGTAAAAATGACTGTCAAGTTATCGTGTATGGGAAACACAGTGAAGACAAGTCACAAGTACAGTTTCCAAAGAGGAGCCCATCAGTCATTTCACATTCTCCACTGATCAACAATGGACACAATGTATCACAGTACCCGAATACATGGTCTTATACACTAAGGATCTTTTTTTTGCATGTGACAATATAAAATCTAGATTATAGTGGTCTATATATATCATGGAAATTAGAAAACACCCATCAGTAGTTGATTTCAAAGCATGCTATAAATTAAGTTTAAAAACCTTTGCTAAAACCTAAGGTGATTTTAAAATTTATTATATTTTATTTTATTTTTTGGTGAGTAATACTTGGCTCTAACTTTCTCTCGTGATACTCCTGACATATTCATGATAAGGTCAGGAATTTATTGTGGGATAATTCATAACAATTTATCTCAAAGTGAATTATTCTTTGCACTAGTATTGTCTCTCTGTCCCAGATATTTGATGTTGTTTTACCTGCGTGTATTCATTTGGGGGCAGAAATTTGGAAGCCAGTTTGAACATCTTAATCTTATAGTGTTCTCTGTTCAGTAGGTTGACTACAAGTCCCTTCGGGATCATACAAGTTCTAAACCATTTTCTTCCTTGTACTTCCAACTTTGACTATCACCTTTATTGGGGCTCTGTCTGAAGTGGTGTGAAGAAGTTGGAGTTTATTATGTAGTTATGTAAGTTCGTGTATCCATGTTGGGTCTGAAAAAGATGCTATACATATAAATGAATTTTTTTCCTTCAAACCAGCAAAATAAGCCTGAGCATTCCAGTAGCTAATTTTGAATTGTATAATCATTGTATGGAGCCAGCTCAGTAAACATTTGTTGAAAGCTTGGGTTTGAGTTCTATACTTTCTTTTGCTTATGAACATTTATGAGTGCATTCTCATACAAGAAGAGTGGTGTGTGTGTGTACAAATGTTTTTCTTAAAGACACTTAGTATCTTCCCCTTTGCTGAAGTGAGGAGTTGACTATAGCTTCTCTGAGACTTGATTATTTAAAAATTGAGTACCTGTTCTCCCAATATTTGGTAAAATGTGGTAAATTTTGTGGCATCTTCATTACTGTATTTTTTGTGGATCATTCTATTTTGGTATTAAGTGTATGTAACCTTTCCCTGCACTATCTTGTCATTGTTATCCGCTGTTCCTCTGTCTCCCTTTCCAACCAGCAACCAGACCCTTCTTTGCTGATCAGTCTATTACTCTGGGAACTCTGACGGTAGCACTTACAATATATAACAGTTCCCTTCCCTACATTAAAAAGCCGTAAAATCTTCATGTGAAATAGCTAAGGGAACATAGATAGTAGGAGGAGAGGCTTTTGCTCCTGCAGGCACCTTGCAAAGGGGACTATTTTTCTTATATGATATAAATGAAATCTTCACTCTGCCCACTTTTACACCTACGCATGTACTGAGCGTCTCCAAGGAGACAAGGAAACCCGGAGTCCAGTTATGGTGAATCCTCCCTGAGACAGCAGGCTGGAGTCTCAGGCAACTCTCCCAGGCTCCTTGGCTTCCAGATGCCCCTCTTAGACAACCCCTTTTCTCGAGGCTCTTCCAGGCAGGCTTTCTCGAGTATGTCTCTCCCTGCACAGATGAAATGGCCTGTGCGTAACATCTGAAGGGCTGGGCGTGGTGAGTTCAGTAGACAGAGGCCTCCCTGGGACTGGGAGGGTGGATGCTGCGGGAAGGTGGGGAGCAGGGGATCCACTTGCCCGTGATCTTTCCTTGGTTGTCCATTTATCTGTGCTTCTGTTTCCTTGCCTTCCTTCATGACTCTTAAACACAATGGCACCGCTCAACCTTAACAAGTGTCTTAAAAATATTCTTTGTTACAATTGTACAGTTTTGCACATGGTCTAGTTGGCTTGTTCTTTTAGGAGAAGTACCACTCTTGCGGATGCCACGTTGTCAGGTGTTTGCTCATGAACATTCATGCTCTCCATCACTCTGGTTTCCTTTTCTCTTGTGTCCAGTGCACAGGAACAAGGCCCTCCTAACTTTCTTGCCTCCCACCATTGGCACTGTCACCTTTCTTACAAATACATAAGTGAAGACTCTGTTCTTCCTCTTTGAAGAACACACCACCCTCTGAAGTCCATTGTGCTCACTTTCTAACACTAGAGTATCAGCCCCTTTCCATGCATTGACCACATCCATGTTTGCCTCTTCCTTGATGCACAAGTAATTTTTTCACCATATAGAAATCGTTTTTGATACAATCCCCAGGCAATCTCACTTTGTCTCTGAGCGCTAAGCACATCACTTCATGAGCATTCTTTTGTTTTGTTTTTTTGAATTGGAGTCTCACTCCATTGCCCAGGCTGGAGTGCAGTGACACACTCACGTCCACCTTAGCGTCGACTTGCTGGGCTCAGGCGATCATTCCGCCTCAGCCTTCCAAGCAGCCAGAACTACAGGCGTGCGCTACCATGCCTGGTGAATTTTTTAATTTATTGTAGAGATGAGGTCTCCCCAAGTTGCCCAGACTGTCCTCGAACCCATGGGCTCAGACTCCCCTCACCTCAGCCTCCCAAAATGCTGGGATTATAGACTTGAGCCACCACGCGCGGCCCATGACCATTCTAGACATCTCTTCTGTGTGTATATTCTCGGTTCTCTGATGACTTGACTCAAGAAGACTGACTTTTTGTGTGGTTTTCTAGCATGAGTTCTACAAGCTTCAGTTTTCTATTGCTGATTCTACTGCCCTCTTGGGAAAGGTCTGAAGTTAGTCATTATTCTTGTTCTTAATTGTTCGTCAGTGAATGTTCTCATGAGGATTTATTCATGACACTTTTTTGTTTCTTAAGTCGGGGGCTGGAGTACAATGGCACAGTTACAGCTCACCAGAGGCTCCTACTCCTAGGCTCAGGTGATCCTTCCACCTCAGCCTCCTAAGCAGCTGGAACTACAGGTATGCATCACCATGCCTGGCTAACTTTTTTATTTTTATTTAGGGACAGGGTCTCGCTATGTTGCCTAGGCTGGTCTTGAACTCCTGGGCTCAAGCAATCCTCCTGCCTTGGCCTCCTAGAGTGCTAGGATTACAGGTGTAAACTACAGCACCTGGCCTAATTTTTATTTTATTTTATTATTTCTGTAGAAATGAGGTCTCACTGTATAGCCCATGCTGCTTTTGGACTCCTGGGCTCAAGCGATCCTCTAACCTCAGCCTCTCAAGTTGCTGGGATTACAGGCAACAGCCACCACACCCAGCCTTTTTTTTTTTTTTTCTTTTTTACTTGAACTTTCAAAAAGATTTGTCAGTCCCTTGTGCAACATTTTAGAGGACTCTCCTGTTTTCTTTTTGCTGTATCTCTAATTTATACCAACTCTCTAGTTTCTACCTTTAAGGGAAAACTATCCCATATTACAAGCTTGAAGGGGTTATTTGTAATCAAAATAATTTATTTTGCTCACAGGTTTATAATATCCGCCTTTAAGATGACCAGAGGTCAACTTTGCTAAATTTTTCATCCTTGGCATGTCTCCTCTGTTTTGATCTTCCTTTGCAAATAAGCTTATCCATTCTATTCATATGATTCTTCACTTAGCTCTTTCTCTTTATTTGGACTCAGATGAGGTGCAAGTGTTACTTTCTACTTGAGTTCCCAAGTTGACCTGAGAAGAATTGAGGAAGGGCATAGGTGACCCTGCAAAGGACCCTGTATCATCTCCCAAGTTTCTGTCTCTGCCCGGTCCCTCCTGGCCTCTCTGCCATCCTTGCTCAAAGTCCCAATCATTCATGCTTCTAAATTCCATGTCAGATTTTTGGTAGGAATAAAGTGTCTGCTTGGCTGGATTGCTGTGCCTGAGGAACTGTGGATGAAATCAACCAAATCAAAGGAAAGGTCAACAAATTCTGGAAAGTTTTCCAACTTAGACTGGTGGGAAGTTCTGTTTGCTGTTTCATTTGCCTGGAAATAGGAAAGTCGGGCCCAAGTCCCGAAGTACACTCCCTGGAATCGTTTTTGTGAGGGATCCCCTGAACATGTGTAGTAATGCAAATGGTTTTCTTCTGCTTTTCCTTCCAGGCACTTCAGGTGGCAAGACAGCTCCTTTTGCAGCAGCAACAGCAGCAGCAGCAAGTTAGTGGATTAAAATCTCCCAAGAGGAATGACAAACAACCAGCTCTTCAGGTAACAAGTCTTTAAAAAGAGGATTGACATTATACCCTTTGGGATAGCTGATAAGCTGTTTAGGAGTGAATGTGTTGAGAATTGCAAATCATGTAAAAAAAAAAAACCCTCTACAGAAACAGAATATGACATTTTGGGGGAAAATGTCTGTTGGACCAAAAGCTTTGTTGTTGGGAGTAAGAAGATCTACTGATTACCCAATATAATAGGAGGATGAGGAATTGCAGGTGTTGGGATGCTTCTTAGGCAATATAGGATACCAATGAGAAAAAGTTCATAACAGAAATGGGGTAAACACACACACACACACACACACACACACACACACACACACACACACACACACAGCAGTGATTCTCAGCAGGGGAGATTTTGCTTCCCAGGAGACATTGGGCAGTATCCGAAGCCATTTTTGGTTGTCACAGCTAGGGCCGTAGAGGTGCTACTGACATGTTATAGTTACAGGCCAGGGATGCTGCCAGACATCCCACAGTGCACAGGACACAAGGCATTATAATTCATCCCAAAATGTCAAAAGGAGCAAGAAGTGTGACTGGGCCTAAAGAAGGTGTACTTTTAATATTATACCCCATAACAAGTATAGTAGGTACCCTGTATATACTTCAGTGGATGTGTTCTGACTGTTTCTGAATTATTAATTTTAAAAAATGGCAAGACATTTTTTATGTAAAGATACCAGAAAAGCTTGTTCTAGCAACTTCTTGTTTCAGGCATTTGGGAGCAAGGGGATAATGGAATAGAAGAAGGAATGAATTTATAAAACCTAATTTGGATTTTCGACTTAGAGTAGAAAATTGTATTAGAAATTTCAAAGAAAATTGAACCAGAGCCATCATGGTCACTTCAAAATAGGGCCTTTATAGGTCCTAGGTGACTCAAATAACTTTTGTAGCTGATAGTGGGCATTCCCCACATGGGAGAGGACAGTAACTGATGGGTATATAACTTGGTGCCCATTAATGTGATCATGAGTTCAAACCTAAATTTTAGCTGGTTTTGACTTTTCACTGCTCAGGGTGAACTACCAGCTCCCAAATTATCCTGCAAAGATCAAAATGACCTTGGCCAATGAGTTCTAGGTCTTCTACATGTACTTGGGAAACTGTCACCTTCTAGGGAAAGTTCAGCATGATAGTGATACTGTATTGGAAAAGTTGAATGACAGTGCGTATTGTTTACTAACACTTCTGAAAACAGTCATTTGGTAAACCATCAACAATGGGTACTCCTTTGAATGTGTGTGCATGCAGGGGACATTTTTAATGAGGTACAGTGCCATTGAGGGCCCGTGTCAGGTGCTATAAGAAGTGCTTTGTTGTGCAGATGTCTTAAGAACAGCTTTGGAGGATGAAATATGACTGTGTTGACCTTTCAGCTGTGAGCTTATTTGTCAGGATTCAAATAAGTTGAAAGGATCAAACTGAACAGTTTCCGTAGTCAGACTGGGAATTGTGATTCAGAGGTCAGCGGCAGAGGCCACATTGCAGATTCCATAACATAGCCAATTGTTGGTACATATTAAAGTACCGGGGCATCTCCTGTGGACAGAGACACAATTAAAATTCTAATTTATTAATGTATACAAGGAACCAGCCCAGCCTGTCACTCAGTGATTCAAATGACTGTCCATTCTTTTTACCTCTCTCTTGGAGCTCTCACATCCTTAAAAATACCACAAGTCCTCTTGCATTTATCAGACCTCAAGTGCACTGGAAAAATGAAAATATATTATTGGGGGGAACGTCTTACACATAGTAGAGGTTTGGTTGGAGATAATAAAAAAACACACACATATACAATCTGTCTGATCACACTGCTCTTCAGTATTGAATATCATTTGTGATTTTTTTATAGTATACTTATTTTCCCTCATACTTGCTTTTTTAAAACATATGGCATTTTTAGGTAACTTCTTTTCCAAGATGAACGAAGTTCCTTTAGGGCTAAATATAAGAAGTAAAGTTTCAGGGGATTTCCTTTTGAGGCCTCTTTTTCTTCTTGCCTGTTAGAAGGTTTTTAGCCACCATGCAGAAGAGTATGTATGATACAGAGGGCTTCGTTTTTCTTGGCAAGGACAGTGTCGAAACCAACCTAACACATTCTGCTGAGCACTTCAGTCTGTAGAAGAAGTCGGGGGAGAGGGACTAATCTTGAATGCTGGTTTTGCTAAAGAAGACATCTTGAGTTTTTTTTCCTACCCCCTAAGTGGAGAAGTTGACAAGCAGAGAATTTAGACCAGCTTTAAGAGTTGGCTGGGGGGAAAATAAAACGTGTTGGTTGACTGGTGTGTATGTATCGCAGACTCTTGCTGACTATCTCCTCAGCTGCCTGGTAGGGTCATGCAAATTCAGTGAGCTTTATTAGGTTGGCTGGCCTACCACAAACAGAGAGGAGAAATTACTATCTGAGGCCACATGGTATATTACCTCATTATAAAAATGCGTATATAGACTCGGTGATTCACGGAAGGAATAACCTTCATATTTAAATATATCTTGCCACGCCGTGTCCTCGCTGAGGCATCTCAGCCGGAGTGGCTCGGAAATGAAAGGGAAATCCTATAGCAAATCTTAGCAGTGCTCATCTCTGATCTTCTTACCCTTCGTAACTACGCTGGGAGACCTATTTTAGCAAATTTCAGATCTTCTGCATAGAGGAAGGCTTGACAGGGAAGAAAAATTTGATCTGCTGATAGCTGGAGGAAAAAAAAAAAGAAACCCAAATCCCCAAATATACTGTGACTCATATTTTAAGCATATCTCACACTTCCCTGCTTTATGTTTGGCAGCGCTTTCTGGTTTCACAGGCTGATGATACAAACAAAAGAAAATGGAAAGTTAGAGGAGGCTATAAGTGGTTACTCGATAGAGATCACAAAATGTAGTCAAACATCAGCAATTTGGACTAATTTCAGGGAGATGAGAGTAAGTAAGAGAGGAATGATGCTATTTGTAGATACACATACTGAACCAAATCTGAGCTGGCAACATTCTTGGGTGATGTGGTTTATTAATCAGGGCATCAATTGAATATAGCTCCAGCTTCTGAAGTGCTTGAAAAATATTCTAGTTAGTTAATTTAAATTATTTTTTTTACCTAGTCTGTTAATTTACTTTGAAACTTTTTATGACTGATACAATTGAAAATTGGCCCCATCATAAACTTAGAATCAGAATGCTCTGAATTCATTAACTTCAACTTGGGGAATATTTTCAAAACAGCCACAATGCATTGGACGTTGTACTGGTAGGATACACAGCCATCAAGGCTACAGACCCTGCCTTCAGGAGGCTTCTGAGTTGTAACTGAATTAACAAGGTTTTGCTGCAAAAAGAAAATTATAGATGAGTAAAAATAACAGGTTCCCATTTATAAATATTTATCTGCTTCCGAAGATTGCTTAAACAAGTGAAATAAATGCTTAACAGTGCAGGTGCACCCATAACCTCGAAAATGTGTAACTTTACTGGCTGAAGATTAATTTGTGAGTAGATGAGCAATTTTATTGATCAAATTTTGGAACTTTGACCACCGTTTCTGGGTAGTAATTCATTTTGGTTCTTTAAGCATTTTAGTTGTTGGCACGAGTACATAAACTGGAAGGAAATCAAATGACACATTTTCTCCTAAGAAAGTAAAAGTACATGTGTATTCTGGCAGCATTAGAGTTAGGAAAGAAAGTAAACCTTGTCTGTTGCTTACAGTGGAAAGCTGACCACAGCTTCAGGCCCTCTATAAAGAATTTGAACTTGAAGCCAGTCATCGGATAGTCTTCCCTCCTGCCTACCCCTTCTTCCCAAGGTTATGTTGTATGTGAGCCCCTTACGCAGGAGGCCATTTCGCAGGAAGGAAGGATGGTGGAACCCACTGGAAGGCCGGCCTTTTTAGGCTACTTGGAAGCTCAGGATTATAATGAGGGCTCCTGCTTTAAGTGGAGGAGGTTGGAATACGAGATTCAGCAGGTGTTTTTTTTAGCATTTTTATTTGCAGTTATATAAAACGTGCTTTAGGCAGCATTTTTGCTTTGCATTAATGCCACATATAATCTTAGTAGCTCATATCATTTCCACGTTGTTCACTCTAGAATAAATTGGCAAGAAGAAACCTTTCAAAGAAACTACAATTTTATGTTGTAGGTAGTGAAACGGAATGGTTTTGAAATACTGACCCTTAAAAAAATATACCTGTGAATTAGTAAGGTGGATAATTCAGGAGAGGGAGACATATTATGCTTTTTAAAAAAATGTCTAGGATCAACATTGTCTAGGATATGCAACCCTGGCGTTTTAAGTTGATATGAATTGTTGAAATCTTGATACCTTTTAAGATGTCATTGTTATCCCATGACTTTGGAGAATCCTAAAATCCTAAAAATAAGTCTTGATAAGAAGCAATAAAACAGAGACGGTGCTTTAAAAACAGTTATTAAGTCTTTCGCATTATACATGCCATTAAAAATATGACAGAAATAGTGGCCCCCTCCTCCTCAGAAAAATGTACTGCCACACAGAATTTTACATTTAGTTTTAGGAGGTTCATGAACCTCAAGAAGGTCATCTCAGGGCCCGGGTTCATACCCTTGCTTGAAGATATTTTTTTTCCTGAAAATAATATGTTTTATTCTTGCCTCCAAAATTCTGATATAAGTTGTAATGTAATGAGCTAGCTCATTTTTTATATTTCACCTTCAACTATATCTAGGTGACCTGCGTCCCCGTTTGCCCAGAATAGCCCCCAGTCCATGACTATTGATTGTTTTTTAATGATTCGCATTCTTAAAAGTATCCCAGTTGTTTGAACTGGGTGCAGTGACATGTGTCTGTAGTCCCAGCTACTAGGAAGGCTGAGGTGGGAGGATCGCTTGAGCTCAGGAATTTGAGGCCAGCCTAGACGACATAGCAGGACTTCTTGTATATATATATATTCTCCATATCTCTGTTTGAGCATTCAATTATATGATCACTTACATGTATCTAAGC